TCCCAGAAGTCCCAGCAAATATCTCTTCACCTCTCCTTGTATTGCATTGGGTCACATACTCATTCCTGAATCTGTAACTGTGGCAAAGAAGATAGAGATTTTCTGATGGCAGAATAGATGGTTTGATATAAAGGATATCTGGAGAAATGGAAAGAAAAAGAGGCATTTCTAATAAAAGGAAAAAGTAGGAAGGACATTGATCAAGGTTAATATTGTATTTGTCAGCCTAATATGACTACAATTAGCAGATTATTTGGGTTATTTTTTTAAAAAAACTTTGGATGATTAGATATAAATGACAGGACAAAAAGAATACGTTTTCTTTTCACCATTTCCTGTCATTCTAATAGACTTACAAGACTGTTAAATAAACATGCTTCTAGAATTTGGACCTGTTCACACCATCTTAATATGAAAATAAGTAGGGATGGCAAAATATTTGTTTTTCTCCATCTGTTCTATTCTTCTATTCTGTTGGTTGTGCCAGACTCTGACACAGCAGTCTGGGTTGAATATACCCTAATTAAAAGGAAGTTTTTGAAATGTGATTATATGGTAATAATTTCTCTTCTGCTGTAATCATAGGAAAGATATCTTGGACTAATTTTTTACTGTTGAGAACTAGATAAAAGTAGGGCCAACACAAATGATATTTTATTCTCTAATTAATACGGTAACTATAGCCCTATCATTCTAACAACACAAAATCTTTGATGGGAAATTTGTGGGGAGAAAAGACAAACTGTCATTTAGACAGAAAATGTAACTGTTACTGTACACAAATGAAAGATGGATAAAATCCTTCAATTTTCATCAAGAGGGCCCTATAATATTCATTTTTCCATTTCTTGAAAAAAAATGTATGAACATAATGAATAAAGGCAGATTCTATTTAAACTAATAGAAGAAAGATCCAACAAAGTTACAAAATGTCTTTCTGTGTTAAAAATGCATTTTGAACTTTAGATGGTCTCAATTATTCCGAATAATGATGCATTTAAAAAACATGCAAACTCCTAATCAATATTCCATTATTTAAAACTATTTTTCTTTTAAAGATTTTATTGGGGAATTGGGGAAGGAGAACAGCATTGGGGAATTGGGATAAGGGAGCAGAAAAGTTTCTGTCCTTTTGTTCTTTAGTCTAGTTGTAGGGGACATTGCTTCACTGCTCCATGTTGGTGTTATCATTGTGCTCTTACCGGATGAGGCAGTCGCTCACCGGCCATTGGACAGCCTTTCACTGCAGCTCACGGCAGCTCAGGCAGCTCACACCTGCTGCAGCCTATGCCATCGCTGGTGACTCACGGCAGCTCTGCTCCAGGTCAAGCTGTTGTTCACCATCTTAGCTGCAGAGGACGCAGCATCACTGGCCCTCATATGGGTCTGAACCGGGGCCCTGCTGCTCAGAGCTGGCGTCCCGAGCCAACTCCTTACCAACCTGCCACTTGGCCGGCCCTAAAACTATTTTTTATACAGGTTTTAAAGTGTGCCTGTTTTTGATCTATCAAAAAAAAAGGGTAAAGAAAGAGAAAAATTTCAGGCTAACACATTGCTACTTGCTACTGTGCCTTCCATCTTTTAGAGTTGGACCATTGTCTTTTCAAGGCAAACTATTAACACAATTTTTAGTCTAAGATTACATCGAAATAAGGTTCTCAATATGAGTGTTATTGCAGGATTTTTCAGGACATATCTTCATGGTATAAAACGTAGGGCATGTACAAAACAGAATCTCTAAACTCAAGACATAAACCTCTCCTTGTACAGTGTTAAGAAGTTGAAATATCCTCTTTGATTTATTTATCTTTCATGTTTGTAAATTTTTAGCAGGTCTTTTCCTCTTATTTTTCTTCATCTCCCTTCTGTATGTGCTGCCTCAATTATACTTGTATCAATCTGAACATAAATCAAGTTCCTGACTTCCTTACAGTAACTCAATAACTTTACTTTGTTCAAGATTTTTTCTATTTTGAATGGGTGAATGGGGGACAACACAGGCTTCAAAGCGTGACATGTCTTTTGAGAATCATGCCTACCCTCTGGGTTTTTTATGGTTCCTCCTCAATTTTTCTCTCTCTCCACCTCTACAGAGAAACCTGAAGAACCAATCATTTTCTTAGGCAATCTGGTTTTTACCACACATAGGCACCTGGAAGTCTTGGCTCTTTCCTATAAGCTTGTCAGGGAAAGTTTTTCTAGATTAACACTCTGTTAGTGTTTAGGAATGCAGTTTTTTTCATCTCAACCTATATCTTTGGTGTGACTTAATCAAAGGTTATCTCTGTTGAGACAGCCTATCTCGGCCCTGTGCCTTTTAAACATTATGAGCCACCCAGGTGTCACACGGTGTAGTCCAAAACAGGAGAACCACCCATTCCTCTTCATGATGAAACCTTGGCCGTTTTTGCTTAGTCCCTGCCTTTCATCACACATTTGGACTGCCTGTAATGCTTACTGGCTTTTAGACTTTTATTTTTTTGTTTCCAGCCATTTTTTCCCTTAGCGAATGACTTGCCCCCTAGCATTCCTCTTAGATAGGGTTTTTCCCCGCATTTGATTTGAAAGAAATTGGAAGTTGTGTACTTTTAGTGCTCATTTTTTATTAGTGAGAATCTTAGTTTAACTTTTCCTAAAATTAAGCATTTTTATATTGTAGATTTTATATCAAAACTTTCTTCTTTGCACCTTTAAAAACTACAACTTGTAACAGTTATTCCACTAATTGTTAGTCTTGGAGTAGCTTTTATGCTGCTTCAGTAGATATAGAAAAATAGTAATGAATTGTTTTGGCATACATGACTTCGTGCCTTATCTGACTGATTCAAGCTCTCTTCCCCCCCCCCATATTATCTTAAATTGTACTGTATATTCATGTTCAATTTTCTTAATTTGTAGAACAAACTAATTGCTAATGTGAGGGAAAGCAGTCGAGGCTCTGGAGCCATATGCATTCTCAGCTCTGCCAGTAATTAGATTTTGAAAAAGAAACAAGGTTGGAATATGCTTGGATTTGTAGAAAGTGTTTAGGTCCTAAAGAAATTGGAATAATCACAACAATAAAAGCAGTTATAAATACTTCTGTTAGATGTCTTCACTACACTAGAATGTGGACATTTAGGGCCGGCCAAGTGGCACGTTGGTTAAGAGTTGGCTTGGGATGCCAGCTCTGAGCAGCAGGGCCCCAGTTCAGATCCCACTTGAGGGCCAATGACGCTGCGCCCTCTACAGCTAAGATGGTGAACAACAGCTCGACCTGGAGCTGGGCTGCTGTGAGTCGCTGGCGATGGCGTAGGCTGCAGTGGGGCTGGCCGGCAGTGGGTGTCAGCTTTTGTGAGCTGCTGTGAGCCAGTGAGCGACTGCCTCACCCGGGAAGAGCGCAATGATAATACCAACATGGGCCAGTGAAGCAACATCCTCCACAACTAGACTGAAGAGCAAAAAAATAGCAACTTGTCTGTTCCTCCTCCCAGATTCTCCAACGCTGTTCCCCTCCCCCAACTCCACCATAAAATCTTAAAAAAAAAAGAGGACATTTATAGGCTAAATGGAGAAAAACAAAGAATTTTAATAGATTCAGCTGCTAGAGGAAAACTAGGAACATGTGGCAGCAAAATGAAAACGCTTTAAAAATAAGATGAGTAAGAAAGACTAAAGAGTGTCCTTTGGTCTTAGCAACAAAGAGGTCTTCAGTGATCTTGACAGTGTCATTATAATGAGGTGGGGGTGTGGCAAGATGAAGAAGTGGAAGCCACAGAGAAGGAAAGAGAAACATTTTTTCCTGAACATTTGTTCATTCAACAAATATTTAGCCCCTACAATGTGCCAGGGGCAACAGAGGTTCTACGTAAATAACAGCAAATAATTCTCCCTGCACTTAATAAGCTTAGGCTGTGGAAGAATGTGTTTAAATGCTGATGGCAAAGAATAAGAAGGAACAGTTGAAAACATAGTGACAGAAGACACAATTGATGGAGGTGAAATGAAAGTAGGCAGATCTCAGGTGGAGGGCTTCATTTAGGAAGGAGGAACAGTTATTTCTGAGCTGAGTGAGGCCAGGGTAGGAAAGAGGAGAGCTCCTGAGCCTTAGCACGGTTTTTCTCAAAAAAAGTCTTGTCCCTTGTGGTTTATGCATGGTGTATGCATACAGGGGTGGGCTAACACCGAATGCTTCCTGCCGAAAAAACTTACGTTAAAAATAGCTTTTCCTCCAAGCAGCTGATATTTTAGTTCAAATTAGCCTTGGAAATACTTATGTGATTCTTTATTATTGTTTTGCACCGAGGTGGTTTCCCTTCAACGAGATGATCACAGGCGTGAATCAGATACTAGGCAGAGGATTCACATTTAACAATATCTTTCCAAAATGTATGAGAGACCTTAACCAAGGAAGGGATGGGGAGGGCCTGTAGGCGGACCTCTGACATCCGATGTCAGTTGTGAAAGCCCTACGGGAAGAACTCCATGGTTATAACAGAACTACAATATATTGTTGTAAACCCCCCACCCCCACGCAACTGAACTCTTTCCCCGTATAAAAGAGCTTCCTACTGTTTGGCTCCCTTTTTGCAGGTGGCTTGTCATGCAGCAGGTTCTGGATTACAAGTCTTTCTAGCGCTGCCCGCCTGAATCCTTTTTTTGCTGAAGGAATACCTGGTCCACTTTTTGTTTGCGGTGGCCTGTCTTAATTACACCACAAAATCATAGCCCTATAAATAAACGGAGAGGTTAATCAAATCTGTCTGAAAACAGCATTATTTCCCTGTAGAATGCAAACCTGGGTGATCGCTGGGGTAGGGGACGGAGAACTGGAGGTTAAAAGAAGGGCGCTTCCACAGGAGCTTCCAAACCACCTAACGGAATCTCAAATCCCGCCCTGGTTTTGGAATAGTTTTTAATTGGTTACAGGATTTGGGAATCAGGCCCCGCCTGCGCTGCGGGTTTCTCGGGCCCTGATCATCGGAAATTCACAGGGGGGCGGGGCTAAAGGGAGCGGCGAGAATTCCGGGCGGAGATCGGACGGTTGTCCCATCATCCCCCTGGCGCCGCACCCTCTACGTATTTCGTATTCCGTGAAACTTCCAGGGCATCTTTTGATGTAGTCAGCCGTCACGCATTGTGTTTTTCTGCGGGCGCGGGAGGGAGCGGCACTTCCGCCCTAGCACTCGTGTACGCATGCGTGAGAATTGAGCGACCGGCGTGCGTGTGACGTCACAGGTGCGCCGATCTAAACTTGTGCTCTAGGGCGCGGTGAGTGAATCCCTTGGCTGATTTGCAGTTCGTTGCATGAATACAGGGTGGGTTGGGACCTGAACTCGTGTTCTAAAGAGGCTGATTTACTTTAGAACAGTATTTGATGTAGTTATTGCAGAGAAACTCTTCATACGTGTCTTTATCGTGAGCCTACTGTGTTCCGCATCTTGCCTGGCGTTTCGGGAGCAGCTTATTTGAGTAAGTCCCTGTCCCCGCCCTCACGGAGCCCTGCCAGCTTGGGGAAGGTTGGTGCATACACATTAAAATTAAGTGTTGACTAGTGCGTGTCCCAGTCAAGAGGTTTGAGAAATAAGATTGAACCTACAGTGTGCAAGTTAACATCAGTTAAATAGTTTCTTTTCGATTGCTGGAGGGAGGAAGCAACATATATTTTGGAGTAATTTGCTTTAGGTGTACAGTTTGCGTACACAATATAAACACTGTCAAAGGGATTAAAAAACGAAACCAAAACTTTTCAACCCCCCCTTCTCTTCCCCAGTAGCTTGTACATTTTAAAGCACAGTGGTAAGGCAATAACGTTAGCGCAGTTTGAACAGATCCTAAAACTGGCCTTTTCGAGGTACTTCTTTAAATACGACACTAAATAGAAAAGGGTTAAGTTTCAATGCTTAGGAGAATGCGTATATTGATCCTTGTAATAAAACTAGAATAATCCCACTGCCCTTCCCTAACCCCCAAACGATAACTAACTTAGAGGAAAGGAATAGCACTGGTCTTTTGTTTCAGCAGCCAGATACCAACTTCCCTGGTTGAATTTGCTTTGGACAGCGTTGCGAAGCACAGCTGATATGCCTCTTGAATTAATAAAAGAAGTCAATGGGGTGCCTGAAGTTAAGCTGCTAAATAAATTACAGAAAGTCGATTTCAGATCCCTGCAGGCAGGCTGTGATTATAGCCAGAAATATATCCAGGTAAGACTTTCCATAACACACGATAGTCATCTTTTGCTTTTAGCAGACTGTCGTGTGTCTATATGTGGTTTTTCTTTGAATTTCTCTTGCTTAGTAACTGAGCTTCTTTGATCTGTAAATCAATGGGGTTGTTTTTTGTTGTTGTTGTTTTTAATCAAATTAAGGAAGTTATAGGCTAATGTTCCTTGCAATTTTTTCCCCCTCCCACATTATTTATTTCTCTTTTCTCCTTCCAGATGTTAATTATATGTTTGTTTGTATGGTAGGCTGGTAACTATTGTCCTACAGGTCTCTGAGGTACTGTTCCATTTTCTTCCATGTTGTTCTTTTTTTTGGTGGAGAGGGATTTTCAGATTGAGTAATTTCTGTTGATCTGTCTTCAAGTTCACGGAACCTTTTTTCTGCCATATCCCATATTCTGTTAGGCATATTTAGTGAATTTTTTCATTTTCATTAGTCTACATTTAAGTTAGGGACTAAGGGAGAGAATGACGGGAGGAAAATGAAAAGCTTATTAATAAAATGGGTCTGATCGTAAAAGAAAGAGACATAATGCTACATTTCAGTTTTGCCCTTCTAATCAAGACACTCCATGTAGACATTTGTTTATTTTTTATTCTGTTTATTTTCCATTTTCCTGATATTTTATTTCAGATGAAATAAAGTTTTATGTATTAGTTTTTTTCTGTTTTCCTCTTCCAGCTGCAGTGGGTTTTCACCAAAGCTTTAGGATTCATAGGTTTGTTGCCCTTCTAGCAGTTTAAGGACTTGGTTCTGGAAGAAAGACCCAGGTAGGATTTCCTGCCTTTCTTGCAGTAACTGCTCCCACCCTTTGCCTCCTCCTGGCCTGGATCTTGTCAGGTTTGTGGAGAAGAGCTTGTAGGTGGGTGTGAACTCCCCTTGTGTGTGCAGCTCCCAGAGGCTGTCTTGTCACTAGCCCGACTTGGCCTTTAGCAACTCATTAAAAATAGCAGATGAATTTTCTTACAGACGTCAGGCAGCATTTGCCATTTACCTTGGGTAAGCAAATGCTTACTGCCTGTCTCTCATTGGAGGTCTTCTCTTTTCCTGGATTTCTGGTTAGTTTATTGCCTTCTGACTTCAACTCTAGTGGGTCAAGAAAATTTTTGAGTTTGCATGTTGTCCAACTTTTTCTTGTTCTTTCCAGCTTCCTACCTCCTTAGTGGAACTATTTACCATTACTTTTTTTTAAATTAAATTTATTGGGGAGACAGTGGTTAGTAAAATTGAATAGGTTTCAAGTGTACACTTCTATAGTATAACATCTATATATTGCACTGTGTGTTCACCACCCAGAGTCAGCTCTCCTTCCAGCAGCATATATTTGACCCACTTTTCCCTCTTCTACCACCCCTCTCCCTTACCCACTGGTAACCACTAAACTGTTGTCAGTGTCTGTGAGTTTTTGTTTGTTTGTCTTGTTCCTTTTTGCTTTGAGTTTTATATCCCACATATGAATGAATGTAAATTGGTATAGCCACTATAGAAAGCAATATGGAAGTTCCTTAAAAAATTAAGAATAGACCCTATGACCAATAGACCATATGACCCAGCAATCCCTTTTCTGGGTATCAACCCCAAAAACCTGAAAACATTCATCCATAAAAATATATGTCCCTGATGTTCATTACAGCATAATTCACAGTGGCCAAGACATGGAAACAACCAAAATATCCTTCCATAAAGAAGGATAGCTATCCTAGATAAAGAAGATATGGTACGTATATATGATGGAATAACACTCAGCTGTAATAAAAGGTGAAATATTACCTTTTGCAATAACATGAGATGATTATACTAAGTGAAATAAGTCAGAAAAAGTTGAGAACCATATGATTTCACTCATACAAGGGATACCTTTACTTTTGGCTGAATCATTATGTGCTGCTGGTAGTCATATTTTTACTTTTTTCTGATTCCTGTCTTTTAAGTATAATTGATGTATGAACAAACTGATTTTTGTTGTTGGTTATATCAAAGCCTGGAGTATTAGTGTGGGAGATATATATTATAGAATCTATTTTTAAACTTTATTAAGTAAATTATATTTCTGTGTGGATATTGTCAAAGAGCCCTATAATATATTTGCTCATAGAACCATTACATTTTAGAATCAGAGGAAATTATAGAAGGTATCCAGATTAAATACTTTATTTTATGTGAGATTCTGATTAAATAGCTTTTTAAGGCTGATGAAGTTGGTTAGTTACAGAGGCAGAACAAAGACTAAACTGTATTTGTTTGTGCCTTAGTCCTTTGATTTGTCCACACTGTCATTTATGAGATGATCATTTCTGTGCTTAGAAATTTATTGTAGTAAGTTTTAATTTCTTCATAGGAGCAAACTTGTAATGTTTTTCTGTAGTAGAGAACAGGATTACATGTAAAACAAAGCTGAAGTTGAGCTAGTTCATCTCTATATGGAAAATGAGGAATTTATAATATTTAATAAGATTTTTTAAGACATTAAATTATGAATCTAAGGTATTTTTAGGCCCTCTGATTTTCCTCTAGAAAAATCACTTTCATCTTATAAATGGTGACTTTGATTTCTTGAAAGATAAAAGTCCATTGCCTTTAAGAAAATTACTCTAATTTTTACTTATATTTTGGTGTTCTAATAGGCTCTTTTGGCTTTTTGTCTAACTCTTTTTTTCTCTCATTTCAGGGAAAACTTTCAAATATCTCTTCTTTAACTTATGATGGAAACAGAAAAGCTACTTTGGACGTTGTACTGCAAGGTATATAATAGACTATTTAACTTTTTGCCTGGAATCTACAAATGGGTAACTTTGTATATATGTGCACATATACATAAATACACACAAGTACAATTTTACTTATAAGATGATATACTTGAGTCTTAGTATTTGGCCCTGCTGCAGTGGTTATAGGAGGTGACTTCTGGAGAATAAAGGTTATGGAGATTTTTTTCCCCAAAAGCCTAGAAGATCCAGATGATGTTACTTGCAGAATGTTCATTTCTTATTCCCAAGTAGTTTTCATTTTTAAAATCACAGATAGCTTGGTCTTTAACTACATACACTGTTTTTTTACTCTTTAGTATATGGGTGCTGGGGGAGAAGACCACACTTGTCTAGATTAAAACTTAATACACTGGTAACTGTAGATTACTAGAAGTTAAGTAAAAATGAAATGTTTTGGGGTGATATATGACATACTATAAAAATTGAATAATTAGTACCTTGCTAAATTTCTTTTGATTATAAACATGGGAAAATAAATAGAAAGTGGTCATTATGTGATGTTAATGTGGTATTTATAGAAATTTGCAACATGGATTCTAGTTGAAACTCGTTATAATTTTGGTTTTAATGCCTGATAGCATTGTATATATTGTTTTTGCAATTAAGTATTATAGTGAACTAAAAGTGACTTATAAATATTTTAATTATTCTTCATAATCATGTTTTATTTATTTTTTTAAAGATTTTATTGGGGAATTGGGGTAAGGGAACAGTGTTGGGAAATCGGGGAAGGGGAACAGACAAGCTGCTGTCCTTTCGTTCTTCAGTCTAGTTGTGGAGAACGTTGCTTCACTGGCCCATGTTGGTATTATGATCATTGCGCTCTTCCTGGGTGAGACAGATCGGTCGCTGGCCTCTGGACAGCCGCTGCTGGCGGCTCTTGGAAGCTCACGCCGACTTAGCCGGCCACTCACAGTAACTTATGGCAGCCCACTGCAGCAGGGGCTGTAGCCCATGCCTTTGCCGGCGACTCACGGCAGCCCAGCTCCAGGTTGAGCCGTTGTTCACCATCTTAGCTGTAGAGGGCAGTGTCACTGACCCTCATGTGGGATCTGAACCGGGGCCCTGCTGCTCAGACCTGGCATCCCAAGCCAGCTCTTAACCAATGCGTCACTCAGCCGGCGCTCATAATTATGTTTTAAAGTAACTATTGTTTTTAGAATGTAGTCATCAATTTTTGTGTGTATAAAATTGCTGTATCTAATAAGTGTTTTTCTGTGTGTGTTTCTCTATAGAACAAGAAAATTCAGATTCAGAGATCAACACCATCAATATATCAATTTTTGGAAAATTAGCAAAGGACTGTGCAAAAGTTTTCTATGAAGGGGTAAAATATTTTTATATACTTTATTTTAGAACTGGATCTAGAATTGATGATTCTATATTCATCCTACAGACGTTTTATAGAAATACATTCTATATTTGCAAGTATGTAAGAAAATGACTTTAAAAAGCAACATCTTTAAAATTGGAACAATTCTAAGAAGTCAGTAAAAGTTAAATTAATATAAAATGGGACAATTTTTCTTCTCATTTCATTTTAATTTTTAGTATTCAATAGAATGGCTTAACGATATTTATGTTTCCCCTCATATAAAAGTAATTCTTACTAAGAAATAACATGACCTGTAACTCTCTGTATGTTTGTAATACTTTCATCTAGTTTTAGAAATACAATGCGGCTAAATCCTCAACAAAATGCTACTAAACTGAACTGTACAGCATATTAAAAGTAGATGCCATGACCAAGTTGGATTTATCCTGGGAGTGCAGTTTGACTCAAGAAAAATCAATCATTGTAATATATAACATTAATAGAGCAGAGGGAAAAAATGATTATTTTAATTGATGCAGAAAAGACATTTGATAAAATTCTACACCCATTCATAATCAAAACAATCAGAAAACTAGGAATAGAAGGAAACTTCCTCTATGATAAAGGGCGATTATGAAAAATCCACAGCTAACATCAACTTACTGGTAAAAGACTGAAAGCTTTTCCCTAAGGTTAGAAACAATACAGGGATGCTTGCTTTTACCACTGCTGTTCAACATTGTACCAGAAGTTCTAGCCAGAGTAATTAAATAAGAAAAAGAAATAAAAGACATCTAAATTGTATAGGAAAAAGTAAAACCATCCATTCTCAGATAACATGATCCTATATTTGAAAATCCCAAAGAATCCAAAAGAAAGCTACTAAAACTAATAATTGAATTCAGCAGTGTTGCAGGGTACAAGATCAACACAGAAAAATCAGTAATGTTTCTATATACCTACAATGAACAATCTGCAAATGAAATTAATGAAAATTCCATATGTGATAGGACCTAAAGGAATAACATACCTAAGAATAAATTTAAAAAATGCGGTAGAAGACTTGTACACTGAAAGTTAAAAAACATTACTAAAGGAAATTAAGTAAGACCTAAATAAATGGAAAGACCTGCGTTTTCCTGGGCAGGCAGACTTAATATTAAGCTATCAGTATTACTCAAAATTATCTACAGATTCAGTGTAATTTCCCATAAAAATTCCAACCCTTTTTGCAGAAATGGGAAAGTCGATTTTCATGGAGTTTCAAGGGGCCTGGAATACCAAAACAATCTAGAAAAAGTTTAGCAAAGTTAGAGGACTCATGCTTCGTGGTTTTAAAACTTACTACAAAGATACTGAAATCAACAGTGTGAAAATGGCATAAAGGTATACATGTATACAAATGAAATAGAATTAAGCGTCAAGAAATAAACCCATATATCTGTGGGCAATTGATTTTTTTATTAAATTGATTGGGGTGACATTGGTTAGTAAAATTATATAGGTTTCAAGTGTGCATATCTATAATACATCATCGCTATATTGCTTGTGTGTTCACCACCCAGAGTCAGTTCTCCTTCCATCACCATATATTTGACCCCATTTACCCTAATCTACCATCCCCTCCCCCTTTACCCTCTGGTAACCACTAAACTATCGTCTCTGTCTATGAGTTTTTGTTTCTTTGTTTGTTTGTCTTGTTCATTTGTTGCTTTCAGTTTTATATCCCACATAGTAGTGAAGTCATGTAGTTCTCTGCTTCTTCTGTCTGGCTTATTTTGCTTAGCATATGATAATTTCAAGATTCAACCATGTTGTCACAAATGGCAGTATTTCATCTTTTCTTATGGCTCAATAGTATTCCAGTGTCCTTCAATAGATGATTTATCCAATCATCTATTGAAGGACACTTTGGTTGTTTACATGTTTTGGCCACCGTGAATAATGCTGCAGTGAATATAGGGGACATATATCTTTATAGATAAATGTTTCCGATTTTGTAGGTAGATATCCAGAAGAGGGATTGCTGGATCTTATGGTACTTTTTAGTTTTTTGAGGAACCTCCATATTATTTTCTGTAGTGGCTGTACCAATTTCCATTCCCAGGAACAGTGTATAAGGGTTCCTTTTTCTCCACGGCCTCTCCAACACTTGATATTACTTGTCTTGTTGATAACAGCCATTCTAACAGTGTGAGGTGGTTATCTCTTAGTGGTTTTGATTTGTATTTCCCTAATAGCTAGTGAAGTTGAGTGTCTTTTCAGAAAGCTGTTGGCTGTTTGTACGTCTTCTTGGGAGAAGTGTATGTTGCGATCCTCTGTCCATTTTTTAAATTGGATTGTTTGTTTTTTTGTTGTTGAGTTCTATATATATTTTGCATATTAGCCCCTGTTGGAGGTGTTGTTTGCAAATATCTTCTCTGATTGGGTTGGTTGCCTCTGTTTATTGATGGTTTCTTTTGCTGTGCAGAAACTTTTCAGTGTGATACAGTTCCATTCATTTATTTTTGCTTTTACTTCCATTGCCATTCATAAAATCCTCTCTGAACCCAGGGTCCATACATTTAGTACATATGCTTTCTTCTGTGCATTTGTTTCAGGTGTCATGTTTAGGTTTTTTATCCATTTTGAATTAATTTTAATATATGGTGACAGAGAGCAGCCATGGTAGCTCACGGCAGCCCACTGCAGCCCCACGGCAGCCCCACTGCAGCCTATGCCATCGCCAGCGATTCAAGGCAGCCCAGCTCCAGGTCGAGCTGTTGTTCACCATCTAAGCTGTAGAGGGTACAGCATCACTAGCCCATGTGGGAACTGAACTGGCAGACCTACTGCTCAGAGCTTGCGCTCTCAAGCCAATTCTTAACCAACTGAGCCACTCGGCTGGCCCTTGTTTAATTTTTAAAGATTTAAAAAATAATTAGAAAATTTTAAATCTTAAAATGAGGATAATAATACCTTTCTGGATTGTTGTCAATGTTAGAGATTTATCTACTACAGGTGCTTAGCAGGAAGTCATTACATAGCAGCTATTATTGTTATTGTTACTGCTGTTGCTCTTACTGTAATTAGATACAACCCAGCCAAAGAGGAAGAGCAGGGTAGAGGAAGGACATTTGGACCTGAGCCTAAGCGTTTAGCTTCTGCTCCTTGCTTTTTTCAGTTAATTGTTGGAGTTTGAATAGCCATTGAATGTCTCCAGATCTATATTTAATCAAATATAAAAGGAGGGTGTTACATTAACTGAGAATCCTGAATTGTTCTGGCATACTATGGTTTCACATGTTGTGATGATTTATAAATAATTCAGTGGTAATTTTTTCTTCTTCTTTTTTTGCAAAACTTCTCTTTGGAGTCTAGAATAAAGATACATTTCCAGGAAACTGGCAGAACATCTACCTTTTAATTTTCTCGTACCAGAATTTTGGAAATAGATTGCTAAACTCAAGCTTTGTCTTTTTTTCTAAAGCTTCTGTGAAGAGTTGGAAATTAATTTTTTCCTAATTTATAATTTGAACAAAGAAAAGGAGAATCAGTATACTATTTTTCCCCCCTGTGAAAAGCTGTTATTAAGTCAGTGGTACATGTTAAAATCTTACTTTAGAATTTGAGGAAATAAGATAGCTGCCATGCAATTCATGTCCCAAAACTGCTAGGACAGTTCATCAGACTATTTCTCAGAATAACAAGGAGAGTAATTTTAGATAATTTAAAAAAAATTTGATTTAGATATAGTTTTAATCTAGTTGGAATGGCACAGCAAAGTTCTGGAAGCAAATGGTATTTAAAAAAGTGTTACCTGACAGCCTGACTCAGGCCATGTGGGCAGGGCAGGAATCATTAACACTATGTAATTATTTCGATGAGGCACTTTTGTGAGTGGCTCCAGTCTAGACTCCTTGTCATTACTGCTGTTGTTCCTGTTATTGTCATTCATGCCCTTGACAAAGGCCTGACTATTTCAGCTTAGTTAAAATAATTAATAGTCATAATGACAGTTCTCAATTATTAAGAACTCAGTGTTCAAAAAAAGCCTGAAATCATGCCATTTTTTAAAGGAAGATATTCTTTAGAAGTGACACGATGAAGATGGAGAGGGAGGGTGAGAATATGAATGAAAAAAATAGTAGGTAGGTGTTTCACAGGGGAAGATTCACTTACTTAGATAACTTCACAGTTTTTTTCTTTGAACTAGAAAACTTCACCACAATACTTTGTTGTGATAGGGGAAAGTGAAAACAATCAGTTTGTTGACTAGTGTGCATATGAATACTAAGGTATAACAGACATTTTCTCTGACTCCTCATCCTCCCAGAAGAAAGAAAACCCAAACCCAAAACCAAATACGTACTATTAGCAGTTTCTTTATTTCAGGTTGCTAGGTATACACAGGTGAGTTTTGCCCTAATATGTTGAATTAGTAATGTTCAGTTTTCATGCATTATAGAATATATGAAACGTTAAGACGGGATTGTAATGGTAGCACTAAATCTTCTATTTTTGACATTTGTATCTCTAGTATAATTCAAATTAATAAGTGTAATTTTTGAAAGCTTTCTTTTCTTTCTCAGCCTCTTTTTTTTAAAGTTTTTTTTTTTGTTTTTGTTTTTTTGTTTTTTTAATTGGGGAATCGGGGGAAGGGGAACAGACAAGTTGCTGTCGTTTTGTTCTTCAGTCTAGTTGTGGAGGACGTTGTTTCACTGGCCCAAGTTGGCACCATCATTGCGCTCTTCCCGGGTGAGGCAGATTGGTCGCTGGCCTCTGGTCTTGGCAGTTCACACCGGCTGCAGCCACTCACGCTGGCTGCCAGCCACACACACGGTAGCTTATGGCAGCCGACTGCAGCAGGGGCTGCAGCCTATGCCATCACTGGCAATTCACGGCAGCCCAGCTCCAGGTCGAGCTGTTGTTCAGCATCTTAGCTGTAGAGGGCAGTGTCACTGGCCCCCATGTGGGATCCGAACCCCGGCCCTGCTGCTCAACTGGCGTCCCAAGCCAGCTCTTAACCAACG